AGCCGTTTAAAGTGCATTTCGTGACTATATTAAACAAATCAAGTGATGACCAGAAGAATGGAGATCTGGTTCTCGAGGATAAGAGCGTGAAGTTAACGATGAGTTTTGACAACAATTTGTTTGATTACGTGATCGAAGAGCACAAGACTAATGACACGGCTTTAGAGCACGATTGGGGCAAAAGTGTGAATCGAGTGACACTTATATCCAAACAACACTCACTCGAAGGCAAATATTCTGTTGTTTTCAAAATTTGAATTCAATTTCAATTAAAACACAATTTCTGTATAATTAATATAATTATATTGATTGTTTAATAAGATTATATCTATTTATGATTATTTCGTATTTTTAATTATATTTGTAATTTAAAGAATAAAATTTAATTGTATTGCAATGCATTTAATAATGAAAATTGTGATTTAATTTAATTTTCTTGATCTTATTGTTTTAGCAATTATTTTTTATAAATACTTTGCTATATATATCACCTTTGTAATTGTATTTTGATTGATACAGTATACATTTTTAATAAAGAAGAGTATTTTTATTTTTGCAAACTTTCTAAAAACACCGTATATTAGTTCAAATAAAGTGCGTGCATACCTGAAAATTATCATGTTATATAATCGTTTGTCTTTTAACTAAAAATGTTCCTGGTTATTAATACAAAATATAATTGTTGCTGATAATAAAATCAAGTACATCCAAACCATGTTAAGAGAATCCGTGTTTATAAGTATCATTATTATCTACCCAGCTTATGATTTCACATTCAACTCAATGACAAATATTATATTTCAGTATAAAAGTATATAAACATAATCTTTCAAAATAATGAGTTAAGTAAGAAAAATAAAAAATTACATCTTAAAAGACATTTTAATTTATTTGTATTAATAATGAAGAGTATATTGATTACTGTCTCCATAATAATCACATTCATATGTTGTGTGAGTTTAGGAGAAAGACATGACAGAGACTTCTTGTATAAAGAATTTAAAGACAAAACCAAAAGTCTGGACAATATAATCGAGTGGAGAAATACAATAAAAGCAGATTTTCAACAAAATCTTCAAAAACTACCCGAAAGTGTAAAGAAAATATTCATTGAAAGAGCAGACAATGTTTCAAAGACTGTATGGGAACCGCTGTTGGCGATGGAATTCTTGGAGTTTAAAATCGATGGCAATCGTAATCATTACGAGGATAAAGACTTCAAACGCCGCAATAAACTCATGGATTTGGTTTTGGGAGAGTTGTTAAGCGATGATTCAAAATATATGAACCAAATAGCAAATGGTTTGTGGCTTATACTGGAGGAGAGCACCTGGACGTGGCCGGCACACCTGTCCATGCAAAAGGCCGGTGAAGGTATGCCCGACCCCTCACAGTGGGTCATAGATCTCGGGGCTGGCGAGTCATCCGCTTACGTGGCCTGGATTAGATTGCTTCTTGGTAAAACTTAATTGCTTTTTAAAATAAATGAATGTTTATAATTAATATTTATTATGAATTTAGGCGATAAACTCACAAAACTCTCGCCAATGTTTGTAAAGCGTATGGACTATGAGTTGGACAGACGTATTGTCGAGACATTTATGAACAATGACTTCAAGAATTGGATGGGTTTTGAGGGCCAGAAAGTGAACAATTGGAACATTTGGATCAATACTAATATATTGATGACTAGTCTTCTCACTGTAAACGACACCAAAAGACTAGATNGGCCAGAAAGTGAACAATTGGAACATTTGGATCAATACTAATATATTGATGACTAGTCTTCTCACTGTAAACGACACCAAAAGACTAGATGTCATCAAAAGAGCGGTCATGAGTGCAGATAATTGGTTGGACTGGTATGGAGAGGACGGTGGGTGTGATGAGGGACCGGGTTATTGGTACGAAGCCGCCGGACGTTTCATACAATTCTTGTATTTCTTATCGTCTGCGAGTGGACACCAAATGGACTGGTCGTCCAAACCTATAGTCAAGAGTATCGGTGATTACATCTATAAGATGCACATCAATGCAGACTATTTCGTAAACTTTGCCGACGCACATGCCAAAACTGTCCCTGATCCCTCTTTGGTCTATCATTACGGAGAACTATTCAATAACACAGTTATGAAACAATTCGGATCTTATTTGATTGCTTTGTTGGGAAACGAAAAGTTTTTATTAGGAGATGAAAGTCGGACTGATGTTCGTTTGCATCAGTTTTATATGGAAATGATTGCCTATAACTCTCTTAAGTCAGAAGTGCCTAAAGCTCCTCAACCTCTCGAGTCGTGGTTTCCTGACCTCCAAGTGATTACATTGCGATCAGAAGAGGGTTCAGCTAAAGGATTATTCTTAGGAGCGAAGGCTGGAACTAATGGTATTATAAATTACTAAGGAATAATTCATGAAAATTATAATTTGTAATTAATTAATTCAATGTTTAGATGAGAGCCATAACCACAACGACGTCGGAAACTTTGTGCTCTATGTCAACGGATTACCCGCTTTAATAGATATAGGAGTGGGAACTTATACTAAGGACACCTTCGGTCCCCATCGCTATGACATATGGACGATGCAATCCCAATGGCATAACACCCCAACCATTAATGGCGTTCAGCAAAAGGCCGGCGCCCAATATGTGGCCAGAAATGTGACCTATAATAAGACAAGTGCCGAGTTTGAGGCCGATATAGCCGGCGCTTACCCTAAAGAAGCGCAGGTTAAGAGTTGGGTCAGAAAATTAACTTTAGATAGGAAAGCAAATACTGTTACAATGGGTGAGAATTATAGTCTGGATAAGTTTGTGGAGCCATTTAAAGTACATTTCATGACTATATTAAACAAATCAAGTGATGACCAGAAGAATGGAGATCTGGTTCTCGAGGATAAGAGCGTGAAGTTAACGATGAGTTTTGACAACAATTTGTTTGATTATGTGA